AGGATATATATTTAATATGTAATAAGGATATATATTAAATTATATTTAATTTTATATAGGTTGTCCATTGCTCACAAGTAGTGGTTTATCTAGTCTGATACAGCTTCGACATTTACACGAACTAGAATTAACCAATTGTCCAGGAACGTCACGAGAATTGTTTGATTATTTACGTGAACATCTACCGCGTTGCCTAATCATTGAATAAATATTGAATAAGAACCAAGATTGAAATATTGAATAATACCTGCGAATAAAATTCGTTCATATGCAAAAAATATACGTGTCAAACAGAAGGAATTAAGCACTGTAAGAAACAGATTTTGATTGAAGAATGCGGAAAACGATAGTTTGAACAAAAAGATGGAAGTAGTATAAATGAGAAGGAGCAGCATAGGATGAATAAGAAGCAACTGACGTCCAGATAGTGAAGGAACACTGTTTTCCTCGTAATAATCTAAGAGAATACTAGCCCTCAAATCTTGCAAAATATAACACATAAACATTTTTAATACATTGATGTCCCATGCACTTTCGTTCGTATTTTTTCATTCTGCCACGTAATCACGTTACGAGCATGTATGGTTGCAATTGTATCTATATTAATTAGACAAAACAGAAAGGAGACTCATATGTGTAATGTACAAAAGTGAATAATGTATATTAGAAAAGATTGATGATGCATCAAAAAAAAAAGAAATTAACGAGTCCTTCCTTTCGCCTCCTAATAATGTAGAAAGTTTGAATAAAGATATAGCAAGAGACTCAACAGTTAGAACTGTGATAAATTTATATTGTATATAATCTTGATTGGTTCGCGTACACATTTTAAATGATGATTATATCATGGAGTGCATTTGACGGATTTAACAAAGCAATTTGATATAGTGAATCTAAGAATACACATTTTTAATCATTTAATTTTTGCTCGATTATTATCTCCGCCGAATGCATCTATCGAGTACGCATTATCTCGTTATTTGCGATTATAGTTGCAATCTACTACACACGTTGCTTGAAAGAAAGTATTTAACAAATATCAATTATACAGAAGGTAACATTCCAGACCGTATTATCTTCAATCTATTCATGATTCGTGTTATTTGTTTGATAGTATATATGCTATAGACGGAAAATCATGGTTCACGCGGTTATAGCACTCACGAATATAGCAATGTCATACGCGTATATCTCTGTGCAATTAGTGTTTTCTAAATTTAAGACTTTTTACTAACTGTATTCTTTGTGGTTTCTCAACTAAGTATATATATATTAATGTAACACATATAATTAGGTATATTCGCGTATTTCAAGTGAATAATAATTTTAATAATTTATTACATCGGTATGTGTTGTATTACACTTTTTATTGACATATATATATATATATATATTGAATAGGTAAGCTATTAATGACTAAATAAGTGCATCATATTAATCACTCTAAATGAGCACTGAGTACATCTAAGTTGCGTATTAAGACAACAGCAATAGAATGCCAAAGAATGTCTTTCTTAATTTAGTTGTTGCGCTATGTATTCAATATGCAATTTTAAAAAAATGGTGCAATATACATACATTATGCAATCATTATTCTTTTAAGACTTTTCTAATTACATTTTTCGTGTTTTCCAATTAAAATATATAATTAATAATTAATGTGATGTACAATTAAACAAGATATTTTAAAGAAAAGTCTTAAATATAAGAAACATTGTGATTGCACAATGTATATCGTATTACAACATCGCGCGTCTTTCATGTTAACACCGAAAATTTATAATTCTTTAAAATTGTTAAAATATCTTACGTAATATGATTGTGGATCGTAATAATAACAGATTTGAAATTTGTTCTGTTAAATCAAGTTAGAAATGATAACTGCATTCCGATATTTACTGCCAGTACTGAAAATATACAGTTCATGTCACGTATATTATATTCAATACTGAATGAATATTGAAATGCCAATATCTCACAGCGATCAAATAATCAAAGATCATTTTTATGCATTGTCATATGTTTGGCACAATACCTTTGTATATATTGTACAAATTATATATACATATATATATACATATATATATATATATATATATATATATATATATATATA